TAATCAGCTTTTCTTGAATATAACACAATAAAACTTTGCCAAGGAAAGTCACATTTCTTGTTAGGTCTCATTCTTATCATTTAATTCGAAAGTATTTTAGTCTTTGGCCGATTTCCTGTAACACTTTGTACTCAGTATAACCAGTCTGAGTTAATGATTGAGCTAGAAATTGACAAGGAATTGATTCTTTTGAATTAGTAATAATTTTATTGTTTAAACCTTTTAATGTGAGAAACAGGTAAAATGTTCATTAAGCAACATTTATGGGTTATCTGGAAGCTAAATTATGAAATATTAAACAAACCTTTCAGTAATTATTTTTCATTTTATGAATATAACACACAAATACACGTGGCTCAAACGTTTTTCAACTTGAATTAAATCACTCTGTGATCCTTTACTTTAAGGCTTAAAACACTAATCTACCTCATAGTGTGATGGCACAGAGATCCTTGAAAACAACATTTTTCTTCAAACACACTTCAGTGCACTATTCATTAAAAGTTCAGTTTCATTTCTATGAATTTATTTAATCATTTAATCATTAAATCATTAAAGAAAATAGTCACTTAACAGTTTGTTTAAATCAGTGATTCGTAAATTTTCAAACATTTAGTTTCCTGCTTTTATACCATTAAACCTATTCCTACACATATATAAAACCCGTTTTTAACCTATTATACATTATATTAAAACAGTTACGAAAATCACTCTTAACAAATTAACCCTTAACTTTCAAATAGCCACAACAAAATCAACTTTGAAATTCAGCTGTAAAAGTTTCGTTTTATATCCAAACAGCACAAATCGAAAAACGGAAAATTTCGATAATTTGCGTATAGACTTTATAAAAATTGATAGTAATGTTTTTTACAAAGTACAAAAATTATCAACAAATACGTGTATACGTTTCAGGGATCACCACGTTATAAGTTAAGAAAAGGTTGTATATCAATTCTACAACCATGTATGGTATTCTCAATTATATATCAACATAAACTGATATGTGGAGTAGTTTCATAAACATCGATAATAAAATGGATTGTAAAATAACAATATCAAGTGAAATTATGAAAATATTTTTGGGGCAGCATTTTCTTTCCATCAAATATGTTTATATGATTTCAAAAATACAAATAATAAATAAGTAGACTTACAGAACACTCCTTTCAACGTTATCCCAGCTCCATGGTTGCTTAACGTCACACCAGGGGACAGTTACGTTCAACTGAAGCTCTTCCCGCACTCGAGATAACAAAACATTAGATAACGTATATCATTGAAGGGGAAAGGGATGTTTTCAGTTAGGAAAAAAATACTCATTTGACTACAAGGAATTTTATTTCTATTTACCCATCAAAAAATAATTCTTTTGAATTAAAGCTTGCATTTGACATTATATGACGTACTCTTAATACTAATAATAAAAACATTTGTAGGATCAAAAAGTAGACAAACCACGATATAAAAAAGCCCATAACCCTAGAACTTTGGGAAAGTAGGTATTTGTGTAATGACTGTAATACTCATGAACTAAAAAAGCCCATAACACTAGAACTTTGGGAAAGTAGGCCTTTGTGTGATGACTGTAATACTCATGAACTAAAAAAGCCCATAACCCTAGAACTTTGGGAAAGTAGGTATTTGTGTAATGATTGAAATACTCATGAACTAAAAAAGCCCATAACACTAGAACTTTGGGAAAGTAAGTCTTTGTGTAATGACTGAAATATTCATGAACATCATTCCCCCTTTCATAATTAGTATGGAATATACACCTTTATTCAGGTATTCACGTAATATTTTATCTAAATTTCCGTACAGATATAACATATCCATAACCTTTCCGACTGAAAAGTAGGTAGGTATGACATTCTCCTTGACATGTATCTGAAAGTCGTAAAATGTTCTAATCCTTTTACACGGGTAAAGGCTATGTATTACAACCAGTGTTCTTAAGTCTCAGGCTAGCATGTACGTGTTTCTGTATCTTAGAAGGAAACCTACTGAAACAGGCGGTAAAATACATGAAGAAGTTTGTTTTAATTCTTGAATTGTTTTCAGTTTTGAATTCCATTTATGTCCGTATTTTATTGCTAGCCTTTATACTCTGCATCACGAGTCAAGTGTATTTATTCCAATATACTCTAAATGAAAGACAGATCTCCAAGCTTCTGTACGTTTCAGCGTTACATTTGTAATATTTGTGGGATACTTAACAGCTTAATTACTTCCGCTATGGTTAAATTAAATAGCTTTAATACTCACAATCCAACCATTTTGATATATATTATTGTTAAGTAGATTTTTAAAACCTATGAAGATGTCCCTTACTTATCTTTTCCGATTTTTAACGTAGCTTCTTGGATTGTTTAAATATTTTCTGACAGTCTTCCAATATGGTTATATAAATTTTCATTGTGACTGTAATGGAATAATTCTTTTATGATAGCTCCTTATACTGAGTTCCAAGAAAGACCTCTGTCTTTGAAGGCCTGGTATAGCCTGGTGCTTAGTGCGCTCAACTCCCAATCTGATGGTCCCGGGTTCGAATTCCCGGTCACCTAAACACGCTCGCTTTTCAGCCATGAAGCGCTGTAATGTAACGATCAATCCCACCATTCGTTGGTAAAAGAGTAGCCCCCAGAGTTGGCGGTGGGTGTTGTTGACTAGCTGTCCTCCCTCTAGTCTGTCACTGCCAAATTAGGGACGGCTTGTTGGCAAATAACCTTCGTGTAGTTTTGCACGAAATTCAAACTGTCTTTGAATATTTGTTCAAAAATTTCTTTTGTTTCCAAGCAGATGAGGCTAGCTCAATTAGCGTAGTTGCTTCTAGGCCTTATTTACTGATATATATGTGCTGGTTTGGTTTTAGATATGATAAATGAAAATATAAAATAATAAGTTACAATTAGGGAAATCATGCGTTTCCTCTGTGCATTTTTATCCCTTTTGTACTTTATGAAGCGAGCTAATAAGATAACAGCTTTCAATGCAACTACACCATGAGTCGTTCTTGTCCCAACACGAGTGTTAACCTTGAATTATACGTAAGACGACGTAAATTTAGTGTTGAAGTCAAAACTTTCAATCTACCACTTGTATTTTTAATTTATTGTTGATAACAAAAATGTATTAGTACTACTAATAGTTCTTCTAATATGTTTATTTAACCCCTGAAAAATCTTGTCAAAGTGAAAGCGTTTCTATTTCGAATAAAATTACACAACAAATTACATGTGGTGTTAAGACTATATAAAGAGAACGTATAAAAATATGCCCATTTTGCTTTTTAAAGGAAATCCTACATCCCAAGAGATCTTCGTGGACACGAATATTAAATGTAGACAGCGTCTACTAATTACAAGAGTTCGAATCTTTAGGTAGAGGGGAAAAACTTATCTGAATATTGTGCACATATATAAATACTGGTGTTTATTTCTAATATTATACAATGAAAGATGATTGTATCTTAACGAAAAAACAGATAATTAGGTTATACACTGAAAGAACTAAAAATTATTCACCTAAAGAAAGAGGGGTGAAAAGTTATTTCTTGATTCATTTCTTTTATATATATATATATATTTTCCAATAAAAAACTTGGAATAAACAGTCTTAAGATATCCCAAAGAGTAACTCCAACACTAACAAATTACACAGTAAAATCGTAAACAAACTGCCCTTGTAATCTCAGTTTAATTCATTTCTGTGTTAACAGAACTCTCTCTCACTTCTGGCCCGGCATAGCCAGGTGGTTAGGGAGTTCGACTAGCAATCTGAGGGTCGGTGGTTCGAATCCCCGTCACACCAAACGTGCTCGCTCTTTCAGCCGTGAGGGCGTTATAATGTGATGGTCAATCCCACTATTCGTTGGTAAAAGAGTAACCCAAGAGTAGGTGGTGATGACTAGCTAGCTGCCTTCCCTCTAGTCTTACACTGCTAAATTAGGGACGGCTAGCGCAGATAGCCCTCGTGTAGCTTTGCGCGAAATTCAAAACAAACAAACAAACTCACTCACTCTATTAAAGGCCTCATTATGAAATATACATACTTGAATGT